ATTCATCATTCGGTAGTGGTGGCATCGAACTTGCGCGAGACGAAACGCCCTCGTCCGTCTTCTCCAATCGCCATTCATTCTCCTCTTTCTTGCGCTAACGTTGTCAACGTCGTCGTGTTTATGCTTGTGGTCGTACTTATGTGCACAGGATTGAGTGCGGTAGGCATTGACCATTCTGTGAAGTAGGCAGTTTTGCGTGTAAGTTACACGCAAGATCCATGGAATAGAGGCGCATTGAACCCAAGATGCCTCTCCAGGAAGTCAATAATCGATAGTGCGACCATTATCGTCGTTGGATACAGGAGGTTCGGCTGTCTTGTCTGAAACTGGATATGAAAATGAAAGGATCGTCATTGTGATGATAATTTAGGTGGAATATGAAACTTACTCGCATCATTACACTAGGCACTTGCCCTAAATACGCGAGTACTTGACCACCCATACCCTCGGAGAATAATGCCATGTGTGACTTGAATGTTTCTGATGCGAGCGGCCTCGAGTCGCCTGAAAAGAGCGGAAACAATGAGATAGTGCCTATTGGAGAGTGTAAGCTTACTTTGTTTTAAGTGTAAAAGACGAGAAGCCCAACCTTTCGGTTTACCTTTACCCTTCTTACTTTCAATCCCCAATAGATAAGTCTCTTGTCCTGGTGAAGCCAGGTCGAACACTTCTACCTCACTCAAAAGCCACAGTATATCCTAACACAAGACGTCAATAACGCTCAGTCTATATCATTCATCGATGATTTATCTCCCACCCGTGAGATCTCACTCCAAAGAATGGGAATCCACGAAATGTAGATGACGATCAACTATTTTGTGGTGCGAAGGCAGGTGACCGAAAGGGGTGGAGGTGAAGGAAGAGCGAAAACCGTTATGAAAATGCTCGGTAAAGAAGGATAAAATGTAGACGAGACTTGATCTACCGTCATTGGTACCCAACAGTTTAACAGATCCATCCAAAGGGAGAGGAGAAAAACTAATACGTCGCGGGATTGGAAGACAATGTGGCCCATGGGTACCATGATATAGGTAACCTCGACAAAATTGTGTACGTTTTCTCTTTAGAGGTACCAGCATCAAGTTTTGATTTGAGATTTTTGTGACCAGACTGACGTAGAGCTTCCTGTTGGCCTTCCCGACTTGACGTGCCATCTCGGTTATCATGGAAACGAGATATAGCTGAAAGATAGAGAAAATAGATCAGTCGGAGAGGCATATGAAGGCCTCGATCAGCACTCACCCCTTTGGGAGGTCGGTCTGATAGATGCCCAAGTGTCAATCCTCATTCATTGTTGATCCAGTACTTCCGTTGAAGACCCAATGTGACATTAGATGATGTAGAGTACCCACAAGTGAGTGAGAAGGAACCACTTGGTGGAGCGACCACAGTTGTCCTGGTCAAGGCCCTCGAGTTGTTGCGCAGCTCAGTCATCTAGTGCATAGAATCGAGAGATGTTAGACATCATACTGGCAGGTGAACATGCACATACTTATTTTGTTCTCTGTAAAATTTCTGTAACTCCGTGAGGTTGGTTGTCTCTTATGTCAACTGCCTTTCCGAGGTGATCCTATGTCGAAAATAAAGGTACGGTTGGCCGAGTGCTGCAAGACGCCGGTGGACCAGTCTCAAGGCACGAATATCATTATTTGATTTGATAAGTTGCAGGTAAGTGGGAGGATTAAGAATCGGCTCTCCCACCAGGAGTCGAATGATAATGTCGAGAATTTCATTCGGTAGTGTCAACATGAGAGGTGCATGGAGAAGCGCAGTCAGGTTGTACTAGTATAAGGAATGGAAATAGAAGGGTATTAAAGATCCGAGATTGTAGAATAAGCAATGTCCGAGGGTGCAAACGGCAGGTCGAAACCAGGTTGGAGGTTGCTTTGTTTCACCGCTGCCGCCAATTGACACGTCGGAGATCTAGCCTAAGATGCCGGCCCTAGGCTCTTTTGGACGTCGGATACAATCACTAGAATTGCATTAAAACGATACAGGGGTCTATTTTAAGAATTTGGAAAAGTCTACAATCATGAACTGTCCTGAATCGAACCCAAGCGCAATCTTCGCTCGATGAGCAGCCTGTTCATACACCGTCCACATTGCTGGAAGCCTAAAAGTGTGGCGTGGTGCATCTATCATGGTGATATATCCATCTTTGTACATTATTCTAAGATCTTTTTGTTTGCTCTGCCCTCCTGTTGGAGGCAGAGACTGTGTCCTCCTGATTCCCTTGTCAGAGATTCTGAAAGTTTTGTCTGTCCCTGTTGAAAATGATATACCATCTTGAAAGAATGTGATGGTGGGATCATTGAGGTAACTGCATTTGAAGGGTGCTCCAATGGGATTGCAGGTGAGGTCCCATAGTTGCAAGGATGATGAGGGATAGTTGTTACCATAAGAAATGAATCTGGAGCCGTCAGGTGAAAATGCAATGAGATGAACATATGTTAGAGTTGTTGCCGACTGTCTGATGCAGACACCACTCGCCACGTCCCAAAGTTGCAATGGATTGTTGTATGCTGCGGAGACGACACAGGTTCCATCCGGTGAAAAGGCCACACATTGAATTGAATCAGTGTGACCTTCCCACGCCGAGCCAATACTGGCACCTGTTTCTGCATTCCATAGTCTTAATGTATAGTCATATGAACCGGAAATGACCCGGGTGCCATCAGGTGAGAATGCAATACATCTGACCCAGTTGGTGTGGCATTCCTGCATCACCCCAGTGCGTCCACTCGTAGCCACATTCCAGATTCGCAATGTCATGTCCATTGATCCAGAAATGATTCGAGTGTTGTCAGGGGAAAATGACACAACACTGATCCAGCCTGTGTGGCCTTTCAGAGGTGGTCCAATACTTGCACCTGCCATCCCATCCCACAAGCATAGTGTACCATCATCAGAGCCAGAAACAATCTTATTTCCATCTGACGAGAACTCTAAATCACTGATCCCTTCTGTGTGACTATTTGACATGGCTCTGATGCGTAAACCTGTGACTGAATCCCAAAGCTCCATTCTTGCACTGTTACAGCCAGAGACAACTCGAGTACCATCTGGTGAAAAAGCCACGCATGTCACCTGACTGCCTTGGGTTTTCCAACTGAATATGCAGCTCAAGCTTGCACTATCCCATAGCTCCAATGCTCCACTGTTGTCGTACCCCAAAATGATCCGAGTACCATCAGGTGAGAAGGCAAGACACTCAACCCCCGGACCAGAGAGAGGTGCAATTCCAACTCTGTTGCCCGTATCTGCATCCCATAGATAAAGCGACCCCTCAAAGGAACCGACGACTCGAGTTTGATCAGGAGAAGCTAAAGCTGCCTCTTCCTTCATATTTCCTTCCAGTAAGGTCTTGATCAGTTCACCAGTCATTGGTACCCAACAGTTTAACAGATCCATCCAAAGGGAGAGGAGAAAAACTAATACGTCGCGGGATTGGTTCCATCCTCAATATTACATTGCAACTTGATATTGGATATTTCACTTGTGAATCCATACCATTTGGATAAATGACCTAGACTAGTGCCAATAATGACATGGGAACCATTCAATGAGTATGCTAGGTGAACAATTGGCTCCGCACCATCCAAGACAACTCCAAGACTTGCACCAGTGGTCGCATCCCATATTCGAACCATACCATAATCATCACCAGACACGATTCGAGTCCCATCTGGAGATATTGAAAAGCATGTAACATTGCCCTCGTGTCCAGCTAGGGTTTGGTAATGCGGCCAATAAGAGTCAACCCCACACAGAATACTTGGGAG